TATTGTATTATTTGTTCGTCAAGCGATGGGGTACTTCGCCTACAGCGAAAAAATCAGCTTGTCCATCGACGTTCCAGGTTGCGTTCCATTTGTATTCTCGGTAAAAGAAACCTATTAAGAATTGATGGGTATTTGAGCCTTCCTCACCGCGTGACAGTGGCTTATAAGATCATTCTGTCTCTCAATGTGGTTGGCTAATCTAGAATTAATTTTTCTATTCCTCAGATGTGCTCTACAGCAGTTTCCATTTTCACGTACACAGCCTGGGTAATCAAAAAGAAAAAAAAAAAAAAACAATAACAAGTGTCTGAATTAGTATGTTTAGTATTGATATATCATTTCACTACAACAGCAATATACAATCAAATCGGCGCCGTCGGGTTACCGCAGGTGCGCTTGATAAACATACTGAAAGGGTCGCCAAAATACTTAAACAGATGACGCATCATATTATACCTTGGTTACCAGGCGTTTTAGGTCAACAATATTAATTATTGGTGATGGCCATTAGTCATTTCTCAAATGCAGTATTGACATACAGTATGCCGTCTGTATGCTGTTCATGCTGTATGGAATGAAATTGGTGGAATCGCGTGTTGAGTTAAAGGGGAACGGATTTCACAATTTCAGCTCTGTCTGGCAACTATAATTGCTGTACAGAATTTGGATTATTGGAGACAACTTTAAATCATGAATGTCTCTATCAAGTTATTATAGCTATACTGTCTAACAAAACGAGGTGAAGATAAGCATAAATATTAATTCTTCTGCCTTAAAGAATTAAAAATGGCAAGCGTTATGAATGCACCTTATCTCATGCCATGGAAAATATTATTGATTATGTTGTCATCACAGATTTTTACACTGTCCTAACTTGTCAACCTTTAATAATACAGATTTTCTATATGCACCAGCTATATTATCATATTGCATACACAAGGTCAAAGAAATGAATGCACCTGTAAAAAAATAAACTGAACTGAATTGCATCAAATATCACAAAAAACAGGCTTTTCTTTCAGTGGTTTTAACGTTTTCAAGGTCTGAATGCGGAAAGAAATTAAAGTAGCTTTGAGGGATTTAAATATAGAAAATAGGACTTTTGGAAATTTTCAATTGCGTGTACATGTATTCCCCCCTAGCAAAAAAGGTGTCACCCCTACCGCAATGTACATTGCTACAAGGATGCCCACAGATTTAATTTTATTATTACATAACAACTAGGAAACTGTAAATTGGGGATGTGAGTAGTACAACATTGACCTACCTAGCGTGGCAATTGAAATACTCAAATACCAATTATTTTTAATATGCGGTTCCCAAGTGAGAGGGATACTTTCTTTACCAAGCGGTTGGTATAGAAGGGAGTTTTGACGCGCCAAATTGCCAAAAGGTCTGGTTGTTCCATGAGAGCCATTCACATAACCAAACAGAAACAGAACAGGCACATACTTTATGGACGCGTAAGGGTTTGGAGAACAGCTGGTAAGAAGCAGATTCCCAATCTTCTGCCTCTGGTCGACAGGACACACCCCACAGTCATGTATGGGCTGTATTGGTTACTGTGGAGTAAGCGAGCTGGCAATGGTCAACTGGAACCTTAACACAGAACATTGCATCCAAGTACTGGTTAAGAAAAAACAAGGAATTCTGAGGCCCATGATCAACCATTTATGTTACAGAATAATAATGCTACTCCAGGTGGGCCAACGCAACAATAGGCTGGTTATTATATAAGCGAACTGGATCCAGACCTCCTTTGGCCAACTCAATCCCTAGGGCTAGATGAGAACATCATTAAGAATGTGTAGGTTATCCTAGGAAATGGATAACTGAGGATAACTCCCCTTAGCAAAATGAAAAATTTGCATCAATATTACAACAATATAGCAGCAATTTTGCTACAAATTACTAAATGTTTGCGGCACTCAGTTTGCAGGAGTAACAATATCTACCACTGTGATATCTAAACATGACAATATCTACCACTGGGATATCTAAACATGACAATATCTACAACTGGGATATCTAAACATGACAATATCTACCACTGGGATATCTAAACATGACAATATCTACCACTGGGATATCTAAACATGGCAATATCTACCACTTGGATATCTAAACATGGCAATATCTACCACTTGGATATCTAAATATGGCAATATCTACCACTGGGATATCTAAACATGACAATATCTACCACTTTGATACCTTAACATGGAAATATCTACATGAAGCCGCCGGCGAATGGCGGTTGTCCATTTACCATTTCACAACATGATCCATACACATCATATATATCTCATGGTACACCTGTTCTAAACCCTGGTTGCTTGCTGCCACCCTGAGTCTAAGAGAATCCTGGTACCAACTTACCTATATTTTATCAATTTGTCTCTGTCCTTTCTGGTGACAGCCTGGCTTTAATAAGAGGTCACAGGTACCAACTTACCTCTGTATTATCAGCTTGTCTCATTCTTTTCTAGTAACACCCTAAGTTTCAGAGGTCACAGGTACTAACCCACCTGTGTATTATCAGCTTGTTTCTGTCATTGCCAACATTCTCTGGACCTCACGGTATACGCTACCGACTTTAAAAATAATTTCAGACAGTCCTTTGAAATGTTAAACCCTGTTGATGACAATCACCTGTAAAACACCCCATTCTCATAGATTAGATCGACCTACATTGGATCGACCTAACTCCCTGGGGGTTCACGCTAAATAGCTGTCAGCCGGGCGGACACGAAAGTTAATTACCCCTTAAAGCTTGTAGTAGGCGGGGAAGGACACTTAAGGGGGATTATCTGACAGTAATCTAGTGAGACTCCCCGCGGTGATAGATCGATCTAAAAGTTGTGAGAACAGAGCCAAAGTCTTTTTTTCCTTTGAAATATCAAACCCTGGCTGTTTGCAGCTGGAGAGGAAATTGCTGTGTCCCTTGTAAGTGCGTCCATTAAGTGATTTAATCTATCATGCAGTCGCCTTATATCAAATTTCGCGTGTTATCTCGTTTGCCTGTAATTAACGTGAGAGCTATAAATGGACGTGCGTTTTTGCAGACACTGAACATAGTCAAATGGCGGGGTTATTATTATTATTATTATTATTATTATTATTATTATTAAGTAGTAGTAACAGTTGTCGTTGCTGTCTTTGTAGTTTGTTATTATTATTTTTATTATTATTATTGAGTGCTAGCGGTAGATAAAATCTACATGTTAAGCTGTATTTCTCAAGCTCTAGGGTTACCATGCTTGTGACAGAAATCTATCAAATCTTGTAATTTCTTTGCATAGTTTGGTAAATCTTTACATGAACCTCACCTTCAGGCAATAATACCTGAATAAGTAACGCAAGGTGATACACTGTGTTATCGAATTATTGCATTCCGGAAAAAGAACTCTGACATGGATTGGCCAGTGCGCCGATCCTTTTTTATTTTTAATTTATTTATTTATTTATTTTCATTTTTATCATTATTATTTTTTTTTGGAAAACACGTAGAATGTTCTACTGGCAAATTACTTATAAGAACTCTACTTCAGTTTATTTCATATTATTTTACTCCAGCGCAAATCCTTTCATTATCTTTACCATCATTTTTTAATACCCATTGCAGAGTTGTCGGCTGAGAAAGACACTTGTGGACATCTGTTGAAGACCTAGGGCAATACAAGCAAGCAGGTTATACGTGTTAGTAACGCGCGTGGCACTCTTGTAGACGCTGTCAGAAAGAAAGATCATTGTATGATAAATATATTTTCTGATGGACTGGGAGTAATAAGAACGCTTACTCTTTGCAAAGATTTCTCCCGAAGACTACACTTCTGCTGTGCGCGAAACACTTCAGCCATTGTGAGTACTGTATATATAACCTACTGTTTCGAATGACGGGTACAGCGGAACAAGCAAGAAATAAATGTATCGTCACCCATGTAACCAGAAAAAGCACAGAGCATAATAATTCACATACAAGATAAACACCTGCCTATTTCCGCAGAATTCATTCAGTTCATAGATTACATGTACAGGTATTGATCGTATTCTGCCATATGATCGCTGCGGAACTACCCAACTCGTTATGTGTTCTACCTCCAGGGGAAAACTGTAATTATATATGAAAGGAATCTCCGGAAGTTACGTGCCAATAAGACAATCTGATCCCACTGAAGCACTGTCGACATTAATGGATCTGCAGCATGCGATTTGCCAATCATTTCAAACTTAATTTGATCCTCTTCCATGGCGTAAAGGAAAAGGGGAACCGCAGTTTCATCAACTACAGTTGCACTAGAGTTTTCCCTGTTATACAGGTTTCCGTTAATTTGTACAGCTTCGACCCGCCCACCATAATGACCCATTTACACGTACGTCACTCTAACCCTAACCTGTGTGAACTTTGGCGTCTGCTTTTTTTATTCATTGGAGTGGGGCACATAAACGTTGCAAAAACAGGTACACAAGACGCACTAGCCTTTGTCCCCCCCTCCCTTTCCCCCATTTTCGTTTTTTTTTTTTTTTAACATGCCTGGTAAAATATTTCAATTTTACACCTTCGTGCCTTTTTCTGTGGTGTGCCCAGTAGCTCACAGCTGTCTTTTAACACTGTGTTTGCAAAAAATAGCCCCTTACCGTCCCCAGTACTAGCAGTCAAGTGAGCCGGTGTGCCTTGTTCTGATAGATAGAGAACATCATTTAAATGCGACAGATTTGCAGCGCCCTGGGAGACAGTAACCCAATTATCAACCAAGGCGCTTACTCTCGGCTGTGAGTTTTGGGGGTTTTGTTTTTGGATTTACTAGCATATAAATTACACTTCATCACCAATGAGTAGGTATGAGTAGGTACAAGTTTAGGTACAAGTAATAAAACGCAATTTATGGTTTAAAAATCATGTTTAACCTGGTTATAAATTTATAGAGAAAATCAAGATAGAAGATCCATTTTCTCTATGCAAAGCCCCCAACCGCGGAAGAAAAAAGTTACAATACACATATTGTGATAAAATTTTATTAAACAAAATATACAGTAAGATAAAATTAAAGTAGTAATAATTTTAAAGGCTGAAAGAATTTTAATTGAGTTAATGGGAGTGCTATTTTCAAAGATAAACTTTGGCGAGATAGAATGACGATCACATTTTAGGTACAATGCCAAAACACTTTTTTTTATTTCGATTCACCAATAGTATACCAAACATAATGGATAAAATCAAGTCTTTGAGATATGCCGTCTGAGTATTTTGAAGTTTCCTTTGATCTGTTTGCTCTTTTTGATCTCGATAAAAAATTAAGATGGGTGAGTTTTTCTGACACCGGGGTGCTCTACTAAGGGTCACTTGTTGGCAAATATTTCTTCCGCTTGGTGCGCCACTGTCACTAATACCACAGTATTGGACTTAACGTGCTCGTCTATGACGTCATATGCCCTGATCAACACATTGGCCACGTGGTTTGACGTAGCCCACACGTGGAGGATCTGCTTGGCCCAGGTTTCCATGGTGTTGTTGGATGACTGGAGAATTCCTGGAAATAAAATATGGTCACACAAAATAAATAATTAAAAAAAATAATAATAAATAAAAAGCTAAATGCAACTGAAATTTATGTTGTGCTTGTAAGTCTTCTATAAGGCCAGTCAGACTAATCCATTATAAAGTGCTTCTCGTCTCATATTTATCTACCTAGGCATTCGCCCCCTGTGGCTCTTAGTTTTCAAGCTAATTTGCTAAGTACCTTTCAACTTCTTGTTCAGCAGTCTGATCGCATCCTCGTGCGTGAATTCCCCTCTGAAGTTCATAGCACGTGTCACTGACACGCCCAGCGTGCTGCCGAACATGCTGCACGTGTAGTCTGTGATGGACCCTCCCTCTGGGAAATACTCAACCTCCATCTCTGTCTGGAAATATATTATAGGGCGTTTAAATAAATAAAATCCTACATATAAACTTTTACATAAAGCTATGATGAATAATAAGTATTATTTATTGTGTTCAGTGAAATTTCGCTCTATAAATTAGGATAGACTACTTTAGTTGATTTGTTCAATTTTTGTGAATTACCTCCTGCAAAACGTGTTATTTTTCTTACATTTTTTTGTGCACAAATAAATAAATAAATAAATAAATAAATATTTAAAATAAATAAATAAATATGATGATTATAATGATGATGATATTAATAAATGAAAATAAATAAATGTAATAAAATTGCATCTTAAAAACAACTATTACCAAATTTATAAAATAAATAAATAATACATTTCATAAGAATACCTTCAGCAGAGTAGCCCCGAAGCAGCTTTTCATCATTTCATATGACAACACCTCAGAGACGACCGAGTTCCCTCCAGCGTTAGGCACATCTCTTATCTTGATTGCTTGCTCCGACAGCGCCATTTTGTCCATCTGCAGCATGGGACGGAATTCACATTGAAACACGCCGTGGGCTTTGTTGTCCCGGACAATTGTCATTAATTTGAAGGTTTCTTGGCGTAATCTAACAAAGAAGTTCTTGCCGATATAACAGTTAACAGGTTGGCGGATGGCGTGAACTCCGCGTTGGTTTTTGACTCGAACCGCGTTGCATGTCACAGGAGTAAATTGTGTGGGACCCGCGCAAGGCGCTCTCCGCGTCTTCCTCGAGTCTGAGATCAAAGGAGTCCCATTCTTCAAGAAGAGGCGAAGAGGTAGGGGAGAACGACCGGTGCCCTTGAACCTTAAAAAACCGCCTCTGCGTGCGGCCCGTCGTAAAGTTGTTTCGCCCAGCAAGCTGCATTTTTGTTTTCGTCTAAATTATATATTTCTACGATACTTGACTGCCCAAACGTTTACTAATAATATTTGATCAGTTTGGCTATGATCATATAGTGGCCGGTACTTCTCAGGTTATTTCGTATCTACCAGGTTCTACATTTTTCAGAGATTCAATGCTGTAAAGATGGTGCAATCCTTCCATATATACAGTCGCCAGGGGAAATCCGTGCCCAAAATAAAAACTAGAATGATATCATTTTCAACCAATCAACGCGCCGATTAATTACGTCAGTGCAGTGGTTAAAAATAGAACTTCTCGTAGAAGCGAGATATTTCAGGTTTATTTCGTACAAATGATTGTTTTGGATACAAGCATATGTACCACATTTGATTATTAAATGTCTATCGTAAAATGTAAAAACCGGTTACAATAAGTGAATTTTATATAAATTTTACACTCGATTGACTATAAACAAACAACATGGCGGAGAAGCGACTGAGCCTTCTTCCTTGTTGCCGATAAAGGGACGCACTCTCTCATGGGTACGGGCTTTATGCAGGTATTTTACGCAGAAATATTTTCAATACTTCACTGTAGTTGAGCTGTGCATTTAAAAAGGCACAAGCCTAGCATACAGATAGAGGCGGATGTGAGAAATGCTGGAAATATGTCGGCCACCGTGACCTCGCCAAGAGGTGATACTGTGACCTGGGACTATCTCATGGATCACTGAACGTCTGTGAGTTTCGATTTTGTAGTCGTTGAAAGGAATTTCAGTTGTCAGTTGTATGAGCCGGTGTATCTTTAGTGTTACCACGAAGCATATGTTTAAAAGTTTACCTCTAACTTGAGTGTTAACACAGGTTGATGGGCTGTGAACTGAGTGAGGCACTGGATGACATAACACAGTGTCAGTAGGTCTATTTGGAGTCTGTGGCGTCAGGAAGATTACGCTTCTGCTCAGGTATCCAGCAGTGAGAAGCCTCATTTTAAGACTTAACCCTGCTACCTATAAGTACAATGTTTTAATAATACTTGCCTTATTGTACGCTGAGGTAAGGAGGGTTAATTAATAGTCACACAACCTTGCACAATACTGAATGACATGTGTAGCTTGTCTCATTAATAAGAAAATTTGTTTAATGGACTTGTTTTAATTTCTATTCAGTCAGGCTATAAGACAACTAAATTGAAAATATTGTAGAAAATTCCTTGGAATTCATTTTTTTTTTTTTGGGGGGGGGGAGGGGGGTTGGGGGCGAAGGCTAGGGAGATTTAGTTGTGAAAAGTTGTCAAAAGCTGAAGAAAAAATTACTGACAAGCATTTTAGTTTACTGTCACCACTTTATAGTCTTTCGAAGAGCTTCCATAATGTGGCATCTTATGCAGAAAGAAAAAGAAAGATCCCTATACAGAGGAGGGGAGTACTAGTAGCTGATCTATAATGACATAGGTGAAAAAGTCAGATCTAGACAGAACCAAATATAGACCAACATAAAGTAGTTTGTTTTATCATTTTGATAAGGACAGTTAAATGAAGATCCCAAAGATAAATCTGTGTTTGTGAACTGATAGATACATGAGACCTTGGCACAGATTTCTTAACAGGAAGTAATCAGTTATCTTTTGAGGTGTGCATGGGGCATTTTGAAATTTGTGGTATGTTGAACTGTTGTGCTGACAAAGTTTTTACTATTGAAAACTGTAATTTACAAAAACTATAATTCATACCTGTAGAGTTCAAATTTGGTATGAATATTGAATATTGATGAATATATACTCTTAATTTCACTCTTTTTTTTACCTCATAGATATTTCAAATAATTGAGCTGTAATGACTATGTTAGGGTATATATATGCAGAAAGGATCTTTTCTGTGATAAATAAATGAGTTGTTATTGACTGTGCCATGAAATTGGCAGTATTCCAACTCACTATTTCCCATAGGGTTGCTTGTTTTTTCTCAACACCTAGACTCTCTTTGCCAGGCAGTTTGCTGGAATAGCTGCTGAAAACTTCACAAGCTTTCCTCTTATCTATAGATTTTTTAAGTTCCTTGTTGGATTCCAGATAGTGTCAATGATGGTTCAAAAGTCCAAATGTAACATAGTCTATGTTTAGTTATCAGTCTTATGGTTACTACAAAGATTTTGAAGATAGAGGTATATTAACTTTTTATATCTGTATATATATGAAGACTTGTAGATGTGAAAATTCAGTTTTCAAATCCCTCCTGGAACTTTCATGAGTTAAACTGCCTCAAGTTCCCTGGCACCTGCTTCCAAATCTCTGTAGATCACAATCACTGCAAATAGATCTATAACAATCTGCAAGAGATGGTGGTACTCCTGCTTCACACATACTGTAACATTAGGAAGTTGGAACATTTTAGTATTTCATTTGTATCTTAAATACAGAACTTTCTGATATTGAAAAACATTTGTTTTGGGTCATTACTGCAACAGTGTCATGAAGTCTATGTTTTCTTTTCGAAAAAAAGTTAAAACTGTCAAGGATANGATACTTTAGAATACTGTCAAAAATATTTCTGGATCTGCTCCTGTTATTGACCATGTTACCTGTTGTGCATAATGAAAAATCACTGTTGACTGACTGCTATTATAAGCATTATTTATTGTTGCATCAAAATTGACAAAATGACCTCTTTTGCATCTTTTTTTTTCTGTTTTTTGTCTGTACATTTGACAGCTTTGCTGCCTTGTTTATAATTTATACAAACTCACTGACAAAATATAAAGAGGAAGTCTTTGGCAGTGATGAGTCAGATGTGTGCTGTCCTCTATGTTATTTGAACACCCTTGTGTTTGATAACTTCTATAGTGCTCTTGTGAAAATGAAAGCATTGAGTATGTTGTATGTATCTTTATTGTTGATGATTCATGTGTAAAACATTGCGAGTGTATACACTATGGGAGTTTATCCAGTGTACAATTAAAGGCTTGCAATCCTGTGTGCTTTAGGAGAAAGGTAGGATCATTTTTCTCTCACAAGACAGAGAGAAGCAGACTTATATAGTAACTGTGGATATTTGCATCAGTATTATTTTTATCACATAGTCAAGTACTAGTAATGTTGGATTCAGTTATAATTATATAGAGCTACAACTACTAGTACTCTATCTCCCTTATATTTATTGCCAAAGCTTTAAATACATTTTGTTGTTGTGCTAAGATCGAAATACTGGCAGTTTTGGTTTTTAGGAGTTAATGCCTCTTGAGGTAGGAATTAACCAGGGATGGACCAGTCACAGCTAGGATAGAAAATAAAGATATATTTTGGGTCCTATGTCACAGTAAGCAGACCTGTAGGGGTGGGGGTGGGCGGGAAAAACTGCCAAGCAAAAATCTTTTTAATCGTGCCATTATTTCAATGGAACCTGTTCTACAAATGATCTTTCTTTGATTGATTTGATTTGATTTAATTTTAAGAAAGTTGAAAATGACAACTAGTAATATATGAATTCCTGACTTGAATGTTTGAAAACATTTTGATCAGTAAGGAATGTCTAGTATGTACATTCACTAGTACTATCACATGAATGGTTTAGAAAAGTTTTTTTTTTTAATTTTTCTCTCATTTCAGTTTCTGCTTTTTGTAAAAAAAGTAGAAGTTAACTACTAGATTACTGACTTTTTTTTCCTCATCTCATTCTATGCCTTTTTTGATGCATGGAAAGTTTTTGACTCAATAAGGTCAGCTGTTATATATATATACAGTACATAAGTGTCACGTGTACAAGTATAGTTTTTAGTCTACTTTCTCCTCACACTTCATATTAAGTCATTCTGATGCCAGAGAGTGCAAAGTATTAAGAAGGTATTAGAGTGCCCCTAGGTGTGTCTATTACCCAAAGTTAAAGGCACATTCACTGGTAATTGCTGTTCTAAATGGCTGTCCATCAACTTAATGGCACTTGCATTAGAATAACATGAAGTTAAGTATTAGTCCAGGAATGAGCTGAAAGCTCACAGATGAACACTATAAGGGGTATAGATGTTAACGTTTACATCAAGTATCTTAGGAAAAAGTTGTTATGGGTAAAGTAGAAATCACCCCAGTTTACAATACTATTCAGTGTAATGGGCGATTATGATATATCAATATTCGTCATCTTTACTTTCTGTTTTGTAGGTGAAACATGTGACTGATAGAAATGCAGTGGTGCACTGTTTCAGGTTGATTGGGACAACTGTCATTTTCTAATAGGGCAGAAAGATGTCTATTTCACTGTCAAGTGTAACATTTTAAAACTGTTGTAGAAGATTAGCTCTCTTTCAGCTGCAGCTGTTAAGGTCATTTCTTTTAACAAATAATTTAAAACTTTACTTGTAAGATTCTGAATTCACTTCAAAATATTTCAAAGAAAAAAGTTATATCATTTTAAATATGCTGCACTACAACATTAAAATAAAAACAAACAAAAAAACAAAAAACAAAATAAGGTATCTCAAATGAAAAAAATTATAAAAAGAAAGTTACTCAATCTTCAATATACTACAGAGGTGATAACACACGTATACCTAGTTCAGTAATATTTCATTTGCATGATATATGCATGCACTATTTTGTGTTTTAGTGTAGAGTACATGGTACTGTTTCTATGCCTCTGTCATAACAAGTCAGGAACACAGGATACACGTTGTACATACAGGTTCTTTTCATGTAGCACAACATGATGTGCCTGTATACTGTGTACATTACGGTGTCATATCACGCTATAACAGCTGTAACTTTCCTCACAGTTGATTTACATAATGTGCATAAAGTACCATTAGCTGTGATTGTTTACTTCTCATCTGGCGAGTTCACACGAGGAATATTTCGGATAGTATACGTGTGAGAAAAAGAATTACCCCGTATCTTCCACTCAACACATTCTCTCTCTCTCTCTCTCTCTTTCTCTCTCTCTCTCTCTCACACACACACACACACATGCACACTAATCATGGCCTTTCTTGCATCTTCCAGTTTCTGATGCAGTGACATCTATAGACCAGTATTCAGAGGAAGACATGAAGGGCATATCAACCTGTGTCACATATCCTACCACTAGAATCAAGACATGGAAGTAATCATGACACAGCAGCAGGTGAGACTTCTAGGATTTTCTTGTTTTTCTGCTGTGTCACCGCGGAGAAAGGGATCAGCCTTTCTTGGGGATGGTTGTTACTAGGAGACCAAACAGTGTGATGGAGAAGGAGCTACTAGTATATAAACCAGCCTCATATGGAAAACTGCATGAAGCAGAGACTAGCAACACGCTCAGTGATAAAAGGTTTAGATTGGTGATGACAGCCTGCCACCTGGGAACTGTCTGGTTGTTAATTTGGTCTGTGACTCAGGGGGATATATATATATATATATATATATATATATATATATATATATATATATATATATATATATATATATATATATATTTTTTTTTTTTTTTTTGGGGGGGGGGGTTTTTTCCCCCCTTTCACTGTGCCTCTAAAGAGGCTCCTGGCTTTAA